CGAGCTCCAAATTATCTGCCATGTTACCTGCTCACAGCTGTCACTACAAAACCACCCAAAAGAAGGCAGAAAACAAAAAAAAAAGGCCCCAACGAAAGTGCACAGTGCAGTGCGACTAAGCAAAATGAATGCGCTCCGGCTGGCTCTGGACAACGTTGGCTCTGGCTAGCTAAGGCCGACAGCGTGTCGAAAAATTGAAGAGGCCCTGTGGTGGCAGCACGGATAGCGTGCTAGAACGTGCGGAGGAACGACTTCGGTTCCTCGGTTTCCCGACTTTTTTTTCATCCGGCCGCAGTGTGCTTGCGTGGCAGCCTGCGTGCGTCATCGTAGGATTTTTTTTTTTTTTTTCTTGGACAGTACAGCTAAGTGTCGCACAAGGCGGGGCCGGCGTAAAATTGCGCCTAAGAATTGAGGTTTTCAATACATTAGTTCTATGGAGGTTTTGCCGGGACCAAGCCAATTCGTCGTAAAACGCGCGTCGTCGCAAGACCAGGGGCCGTATAATCGAAGTTCCCCTGTATTTTTTTTGCTCTACAACATACATTTCTTGGAAAGAGCATTTCGTTGCGCAAAGTTTGGAATGATGCAATACGTGCGGGAGTACTTTTCCAACTCGCAAAAACGATCTTCCCGAGACATATGAAAAAACAACCATTTTTGTGCGGCAACGAAGGAGTTAAGTTGACCAGCTATGTGGGCAGACTATTAGAACGTAAAATTGATAATTATTGAGGGAGACGAAATAGAGGCCTCGAGATGTTTTGACCATATGGGTTTTTTTTTTACATGTGCCTAAACCTAAGTACATGGGCCTCAAGCATTTTCGCCTCCATCAAAAATGCAGCCGCTGTAGCCGGGATTCGACCACGCAACCTGTGGGTCGGAAGCGCAACATTCAAAGAAAGATGGAAACATAGCAAGAGAGAGAAATAGACATGAAATAGATGAGAAAACAACGGCCAATGAGAAAAAGAAACAAAGCAGGCGCAGGCCGCCCAATTCTGCACTTGCTTCAGACTTCGCACCTCTAGCACAACACTGCTTTTTTTCTCCCCCGCAATGTTCTACAGGGTTTCGTAAGGCCAAGCATGTCAAATTTCAAGCAGTATCGTATTGTGCCACTCGCAGATCACATCTCGAAATTCAAATACTGCTATTCAAAGACACCCCGAAATTCTTGCTAATTAGTCACTAACACTCGTTACAGCTACACATTGAACCTAAAGGGAAAAATTCACACATGTCTAGACCATACCTGTACAGTTACTATTTTTAAGGCAAGAAAAAGCCACTGAAAATCCCCAATATAGGTTTCCTCCTACCTGTAAGGTAATTAAAAATCTTAAGGGGGAATTGGTTCTTAGGGCTCTCTCATTTATTTTTGAACCAAGTGTGACAAAAGTTGGTATGCCTACTTAATTTGTTCTCCGGATCCTAAAAACATAGTTTTTTTTTTCTGTAGCTTCATTAGTTAATTAAATAATCAAGATAACAATTTCTATTGGTCTTACCATAATAGAAAAATATCCACCTGTCAAAAATTTATAAGGGATTGACATAGAAAGCACAAGACATGCAACATAAGAAGCACTTTTTTGAATGGGTCATTATTTCTTACATTACAGTACACTAAACTTCACAGCCCTGAATGTGGCCATTGTGTGGTCACACAAAAGACTAGTTTGAAAAACTTGCATCAAGAGAAATCAAAATCTGCTTCCCATGTTGTGTGCTCCAAACATATAGCTTCATGCTGGAAAATAAAATATTCTGCTATCTGTAATAGTTTCAGATATATTGCAGTAATTTTCATGCAGGGTGTACAAAATTGCTATTTTGAGAAAATGAAGAAAACAAAGAATTCTAACATTTTTACCGGTAAAAATGTATGCACTTATAATTACATAGCCACTGACATAAAAATGAATGCTAGAAAGCCTAAGGAGTGCAATGCAGCAAGCTGATTGAAAATTGAACGAGTACTTCTCTAATTACAGCACAGTAAAGTTCATTGCATGTAACCAAATACAGAAATTTTTATATTAAAATAAAAAAAATGAAGCTGCCCATTAAAAATAGGCTCCCAGCATTATTTTTTGTGCACATTTGGCTACATTGTGCAAAAACAATTAGAGCTCTAGCTGTCCTAAGGTCCACTTTTACCAAACAAGCAAAAGAAAGTTGTCAAAATCTGTGCTTCGAGAATAATGTTGCAAAAACTTAATTTCGCCGTTCCGGGGGAAAAATATCATGGCACATATACTTTCAGTCAGTTAATATGCACCGGGAATGTAACAGGACTGATTGTACGAGCGTGTCGTTTCTTCTAGTCATGTAGCAAGTTGTCGCCGTGTGCTCGTCTGCCGCGAGGCCGCTTATCAGTTCGGTGGCTGTACCGATGGCGATGTGCGACAAATGTGCGTGTGTCATCCACGATCCGTCAAATAATGCGGCGATGTTTTCCGGCTTGTCCAGAATAAGTTACCCATAAGTTTCGCGAACCAAAGTTGTTCCCTCGCTCATCAATTTCGAGGCTGCACGAGTGCCGAGGTGTTAGTTTCCTTTTCACGTAAGACTGCCGCATTTTCTAGCGAAGATCGCGACAACGTTGCGAACACGCCGTTAAAAGCAGTCTACCTGTTGCCAGTAGCCTCCATTGCGAGAGCCGCGAGCATTTCACTGCGAACGGATCGACTTTCTGTTGTTGGTCGACGCGCAGCGCACTCCACTCTGAAGACCCGTCGCGCAGTTCAAGGTCCTTTCGTCAGGTGGGGGGAACCACAACATCGGCGGGTTTAGCGATAAGACTGCACTTCCGCTCTGTCTCTACCAAGATTGATATCTCTGGTAGCTTCACTTCTGCTTTTTACTTGCCATCCTATAACTGATGAGGCTGCAAAACACAGCCGTTCTCAGTAACGTTGTCGGCAACCAATGAGCTCGTACGTGAATTAAGCTTACACCGGTGACTCGGCGACCGCCGTTGACCGCGTCGAGTTCGTTATCCTCGTTGTCCTGAGCCATAGCGGGGATCTCTCTGAAGTTCACAGCGAACGAACCACCGCCAAACTTGCTTCACAAATTACTGTAGCACGGAACTTCTTTACTGGCGCAAGCAGTCAGTAGCACCATGACAAAATGGCGCATGTCCGTGCGCATCACAATGGTGAAGCAGACGCCGAAAGCGCCCCTTGGCCAATCGAATGCCTAAATTTGGTCACGTGCCCCAAGCAGTCAATTGAATTACGCGCTAGTGTTTCTCGATGACGCGTTTTTGCTAAAAAACCAATGCGCAAGGTGAGCCAGCGATGACGGGAAATTGAAGATGAAGACCCTTCCAAACGAGACCAAGATGAACACGATAGCTCGTGTGTAAAAGCAACAGTTTGGCGCGGAAAAAGCGTGATTTTAGAGCCAATGTGCGCTCACATTCATCTCACGGGGATGTTATAAATTGATTTTGCGCCAGAAATAATGACGCGAGAAGCTAAAAACTTCTCAGATACAGTGCAGTCCACTTATAACGATATCGAGAAAACCTAAAAATATGATCGTTATAACCGGTGATCGTTATATCTGGACTGCCGCCAAAAAATCGTCGCCGGACGTACCTTTTGTAGCTCCAGGCTTCATTTCGCTATTTTCACCACTTAATAAATATTGTAGATAATAGGATGTCAAAAACAAGACTTTATTTCTTACTCCGAAGAACGCATCACGGGTTCGCTGAGGAAGAGAGACTGACCGACGGCGGGGTGGGAGCAGTGGGAGGAAGAAAGCACAGCCAGAGGTACACAGCCGGAATGCCAACGGGGCCCCGCCCCGATGCCGCCGCGCCGCTTTGCTTTTCGCTTTTTTTATTTTCTCTCTCTTTCCCGCTTTCGTTCGGCAAGCTACGAGTAGCTTGCCGGCTCCGTTGTAGAAGGCGGGGAGCCGCGGAGCGCGGCGCTTTGCTTTTCGCATTTTTTTTTTTTAATTCTCTCAGCCTCTCCGCGGTCGACGCGCGGCGAGGCGCAAAACGTGACACAGCTGGCGCCATCTGTAGCGCGTCGCGCCAACTCGCGATGCTCTCCTCGGCTTTTTGAACGGCCGGGACGCGCTGCCGGCGCTGTGCTGCAGTGGCGGCAGATACGTACTCGCCTACGCTAACTTTTCGTCTTGTCTCGGCATAGTTCGTTTCAGAGGAACTTATCAATCTAAATGTTACGATTATTCTGAATGAAACATGCCGTCCGCGGCAAACTTTTCATCGTTGTATCCGATATGCGATGGATAACATATCGTTATATATGGTTTTTTCCCCCATAGCCGCGATGCATAAAATGAGACTGTTAAGTCGACCCATCGTTATAACCGATATATCGTTATATGTGGTATCGTTATAAGTGGACTGCACTGTAAGTGCGAAAATAGGCGCAGATTTCGAAAATGTGAGCTTCAAAAAGTCTATTTTTTTGCGATTTTTGGCCTTCTAAGACCCGTGTCCCCCGTTAAGCAGTTACTCAACACTAAAAATGGTAGATGTTGCAGATGTTGCAGCGTTCGATCAATGTGCCACTTCATTGCAACATAACATGCACTGAAGCTTCAAATTCTCATCAAAAGACGGTATACAGTTGATAACGTGCCACAGTGCCTGTGCTCACGAAATCATCTTGACTGGAATGCATTATTTCACAATTTCTACACGTTTTCCTGCATATCGTGCTTAAACCCTGGGGATGGCATTAAATTGGCATAGAATAGATAAGTATCTTCAGCAAAGACATTATGAGGGAGGACTATTTTGTTGACAAAAGTTATTTTAATAAAAAAAATCTGAAATGCTGACATTCGGGTCTTTACAAATTGACATTGAGCGAAGCTGCACACTGGCAGGTGCACTGTGAATGCACTTCCCAATGTGGGCTTCTGCAGAACTCTGTTAGAGCCTTGTATTTTAAACAATAAAAACTAACCGCACCAAGTTTTCACCCCTACAGAGTCTAGGCAGCCCTTACCTTGCTTCCTGTGCAAGGCCTCCATCGGCAGATGCAAGAGTACCTGATCGCAAAAAATAAATGCACAAGAAATTTACTACTGATGTCTTGATTGGTAGTTAATCAATTTGTTCATGTTGAAGGTATTACACTCCCCTTCCCCCCATTAACACACACAAACTTCAGTGCAACCCCAATCATACAACATAGGGGGTAGCCACGTAAAACAGCCTCATAGTTGAACTAATACTAACAGCAGCAGTCAACCTTGCCCAGATCACAGGTACAAAACACTACAACAAGCCCACAGTCTGAACGTTCACTGCTTGAAGGAAGGTATATTTAAGTTATTTAAAAAAAAACAATCAAATGTTTCAGCAGAGGAGATGCGAGCAAATATTCTCACCTTTAAGGGAGGATGAGATTTAGTAAAAAGTTGCATTAATCTGTGCTTGGGCAATCAAACTTTGGCTCTATAAACAGGCTTTTATGCTGACTTCGAATAATAAGTTTTATAGTAAATAGCAGTTTTCATTTTGTGCTATAAGAACGCGTAAAGTATAGTTCATTGTGACCAAACTTTTTATGCCACAGAACATTTATGGTTCTGAGCCGATAATGGCACATATTGCTCCTCGTTAACTGTAGAATGCCAATAACTATCTAGAAACTGAGTGTGTAAAATGTTTTGATGGTGAAGAAAAATTGTAACTTGAGAATTATTAGAACCCCATACTGATTGCTCACTTTGAGTTATACAAGCGATATCAAGTTTTAAAGGAGACACTTGCACCCTTCGCATGTTGAATATGTGCATCTTCTTGTGATTAGCCCTCATGACTTGCCACGCTTAGTGCGTGGGATGGTTTAGGCTGAATCTACTCCCTTCTTTTCCGACATGCAGCGCTCCCAGTGGTGTCCAGAAGCGGCGACAACACTGCGAATTCGTCAGGGTCGGCAGCTCCCTGGGTTAAAACCTCTTTGAACTCGCACGACCATCTGACTGCTTAGTAACAGCCATTTGCAGTTTGACCTGCTTAGGAAAAGTAGTCTTAGTGCTGCTTCGTTTGTCACAGTGCACCGAACAATGAGCCGAGCATCTGGGATTCATCTTTGGACACATTTCCCACGTTCCGTGGTGCCTCTTCATTTCACAAACGCAGCAGCCTGCCCGGCACCACTGCCACATTGACGAGTCAATACTGCCCGTGGAACAACGTTTCACTGTGCTTTGCCTGCCGTAGAACCACTTTGTGTCTGGTGTTGCATTTCTCCCTCGCCGTGGGATGATCTGGGCGTGCCTCTTCCCTCTTTCCTGAGTTGACAAGGTGGAGTATATGGCCTTCCTATCTTGGGGGCTCAGAGGAAAACTATATTGGACTGCCCTGGACTCCACTATTTTCTCCTGCAGGGAATGTTGCGAAGACCCAGGCTATAAGATGCAACGCAGAGGCACTCAAGGAGGCTACCATAATTCATGCAGTATACGCTACCCTCAACATGTAATTTACTGTAAATAAACATTCCCGATATCAGTCTTCGCTCCTCTTCTCGTCTTCATACCGAGACTTGGATGGCTCCAATTCTAGAAGATTTCCCCCAGTCGCAACATTTTGGATTGGGCTATCAGAAGTACCGAAAACATGATGTCCAAACCACTTAATATGCCCAAAGAAGAATCTTGAGAAAAACAAATTTTAAAGGTATAAGTGAACCCTCATCTATGGTGAAAAGATGAGATTTTTATGATTTCTTCCATCATGAGAGCTGGGCAATCGTGGTTATTTTGAGCACGTGGCTTTAGTAAACCACAAAGCCACAGTCAGAGCATTTCCCATGCAATGCTATCATCAGTATTATCATGACACAGCAAACTTTTTTTGGAGTTCACATAAGCTGACAGCGACTCCCCTTGCGATTGTGTGCATTTTATCAAATAGAGAGAAATCAGCAAGCCACTGTCTAAATGAATGCTGAAGAGCTATTTTGCAAGCCGAAGACAGCTGCCTCCCATTTTTGTGTGCCCGAGCCCTGTGATCACGAGTAGTAAAAGGGTTGTCTAAGCTGCATGTCAAACAGAAAAATCTTTCATGGGACAAAAACTGCAAAATATACGAATTTTGGGAGCTAGCTTGACAACTACAATTGAGAAACTCTGTGTAGATCGAATTTCTTGAACAGCCCTTGAATACAGAAGTATCAGAGGTGCATCCAGAAGCCAGCAAAACTAGATCCGTGAAAAAATGAATTGCTAAAAGGACATCCATACTATCTCACGATAGCAAGTTGTACTTGTCTCCCTCCCTCCCCTCCCTTCTTTAATTGTAGACAAAGGAGCAGTCAGTTATGCATTAAGAAAGCTAGAACCAAGAGGTTCAGCTGAACTCTATTTAAAACCCATGAATAAGGAATACTTGTTACGGGCGAGTAAGTACTAAATTCGTTTCATAAACTGGTACCGCAAAAGTGCAAAAGCACAACAAGGCGTCCTATCACAGAAGTTTTAAATGCATTATATTTAAGTGCAGGGACCCAATCAATTTACTGTAAGACGTCAGCCGTGCAGGTGAGCCTGCGCCCCATGAGCCGGCGTTGCCGCCATTCTCGCCTCCTAGGGTGCGTTCGCAGACATGCCCTTCACAACCGGATTTGGAAGACAGTGCTTTCTCGGTCCTGGACTGGTAAATGGCATTCATTTCAGATCCCCCCCCCCCCCCCCCAAAAAAAAAGTGGGAACAGTTGCTCAGCATTTCACGGTACTTTTGCATTGGCAGTGCCACGATTTAGTTAGCATCACATGTGAGGCCGCACTGCATACCGAGGGCGCTTCATTGAATAGTTGTCAACAGTATCAGTCATTCTCACTTCGTGTTCGACGCCGTGCGCGCATGCATGGTTTCACTGCGCGAGCATGGTGCGGCCCCGACGAAGTCCAGCTTTGGCTTTTTTCTTTTTCTTTTTTGAATAGGGACAACCCTTTCGTCACTACCAAGGTTGATGTCACATAGGCACTGATGGAAACCCTCCTGAGACCACCGTGACAATGGTGGATCTTTGAAGGCAGACTCTTCGCGGCCTTCAGTCTTGTGCCCCGCCGGTTCGCAGGCTCATGGCCTTCGTGATTAGCATATTAGCTCTGGCAACAACACGGCTGTGCGTCGAATGCAATGGAGTGAATACGATAGCAACAAATTGAGTGTTATGCGAAAAAAGATTGGCAGGCAACTCTTTTTGATCCAATATCACCAGAACTCCAACAAAACGCTGGTGTAAAAAAATACGACCGCTCCAGGGAGAAGTGCTCTTTTCACACATTCTCTTCACAATGAACGCACACCGATACTTGCCAAGATAGCACGCGTGCTAGCGATCGCGAATGCGCCCTTAAAATCAAAGTTCACCGTACCTGCATGTAATGAAATCCTCTTTATAACAAACTTTTCCAGGAATTGGTCCATTTCATTTTATCCAGGTTTAACTGTAGTGCCTATTCAAAATAGTGCATCTCAATGAAATTCACTAGGCAGGTTCATTTTCATGTTTCTGCCATTTATGATGAACTACATGCCTGAGAGATTCGTAGAGCGTTTTCAAATAGATTTTATGGATTGCTTCTAAGGGCACACTTAGGTTGCCAGAATTGTTGGCAACCATGCAAGTGGGAGGTCTATTTCTGCAAGGCAACTGAAGTGACGGAGTTGAGGTGCAACTGCATTGTTTGCGGTGCACTGTTTGACCAGAGCTTGCTTGGGTGTGCGTGCACTTAGTGGCAAGTGGTATTGCGTTGCGGGTTGCAAACCATTAGCCGTATATTCCCCATATAACAGTCACTGGACACTCTCAGCCCCTTTGTCTCGATGGTAGAGTGCTTTAGGTAGCACTGCTGGCTTACGACATGGCAAGTAGAGAAATACTGGGCCAGTTAAGAGTGAACATGCACAGACTTTTAAACACCTCCCGTAACAAACACCGGGTCGACTGTGACCGCATCTATCCGTACATGGTAAGTTGCGCATTGTGAGGAAGATACATATTTGGCTGATAATAATAATCGATCTGATTGATGTCATGTCAATGATGATATTAGGTCTCAGTGTGATGGCAAACTTCTCAGCGTAAGCACCCATTGCCACAGCCACAAAAAACTTCCGACAGCCTGGACGAGTGGTGCCATCTGGCGGTGCTATGCGCAACTAGGCAAGCACATGCAAAAGTATCTTCCGCTTTTTCGAAGAGGAGCAACGATGCTCGTTGACGTCCAAATGCGCCCGAATCACTGCAGTGATTGTCCTGATAGCTCCGAAGAGCTTCTGCACGTGGCATGGTTAGTCACAGCCATGGTGCGCTGTAGTCTGCATGATCACCCATCAGCTGAGAGCCTGTTCTTTGCAGCTTTTGCAGTTTTCGTAACCCGCACTGGCGGGACTGGCTCACCTAGCACAACGTCTGGTTTTTGCTAACTTATATATCATACGAAGACAATACTGCCCTGCTAGGTTTCTAGGTTGCGCTTTCATTCAGATTTAGAATTATCCTGGAATTGGAGTATTTCCGCTCTCTGTTTCATGGCACAGCACCCGAGGAACATGGCACCACTATTCAAATATATTCTATGAGTCTGCCCTTAAAGGGGTCCTGAAACTTCACCCATATGTAATCTTCAAGCGTTTTGTGCTTGAAAATTGCGCATGGGCGCAGTTTCGTTTCGTCCGCCAAAGCGCACAACATTACTGTGCAGTGTAGTTTGGCGTTTCCGCCCATTGTGGTGCTTACAGATTTCGTGCCCTTCTTCCGCAGAGTGGTGTCCACGGGCATATCGAAGTACACGGCGTTTGATCATTGATCAGCATTTCCCACCTGGAAGAGCAAGTAGCTGTGCTCTTTCCGCAGCCCGATGACGTAACTTTGATAGCTAGACAACTCATCCTCACAGGCACTGGGAAGCCACTGGCACATAGTCATTCATAGCCGCATTAAAATCCGTGCCTGGCCATGAATTGCTGGAACCATCCACAGCTCGCACGAAACTCGTGTGAGATGTTCACCTCACGGCCCAACCTCAGC